ACCCAGAGGATAGGCATGTTGTGGGATGTCAGAGTCTTCCTGGGAATTAAAAAAGCCCATGCTGATTTGTACACAAGGACCCAAACATTGCTGTCTAAAGTGTCTCATGCCAAGAGTAAAATGATGATCTGACAGATTGTCAGGGATAATCGGAGACTGAGACCACCCTGGATATGGCTGGCACGTTTCAAGGCTCTACCCTCCCCACCATTATAGAAACTACAAACATATTTTTAAGAGGATGTAGGAGAAATGGGATGCAAAATACAGAAATGTTACCAGGGATGCTTTGTCCCAAAGGAAACAGGATGTATATATTCTAACTACTCCCTTTTAATATAGTACTAGAAGCCCTCACTAGACCTAAAATTAGACAGGAAGGATAAACATTAAAGCTCTGAATTAGAAAGGAGAAGTGAAATTGTCCCTTTGTAGACAAATTGATCTTGTGAAAAACTCTAAAGACCACAGAGAACTAACATTGCTGGGTACGAAGCAACATGCAATGATAGTTACATCTTTGACATACTAACAATAAACATTTCTTAATTAAGAAAATCATCAGTTATAATGTAAAAAATGTTTTAAAATTAATTAAACAAAGAAGGTACACAGAGAGGTATGAAACATATATGAAAGAAATTGTAAAAACAAACATGTGGAAATATATTTGGTATTCATGTATTTGGAGAGTTGCTATTATTCAAAGCCCATATTGTTGTGTAGCCCAAGTGTTGTGTAGATTTAGTGCAGACCTTATGAAAATTACAATAGCTCTTTTTATAGAAATAGGGAAAAGAAGTCCTAAAATTTAAATGGAATCTCGAAGGACCCCAATGGGCTGAAGAAATCTTGAGCAGCAAGCACAAAGATAAAGGAATCATGTTACCCAATTTCAAAAGAGACCACAAAGCCTGGGAGCACTGACATATCATGACCAGAAAGAAATGGATCTGTGCTTTCTCCACTGATGGACTGACCTTCTGGAGCCAAGAATATACAATGGAGAACGCATAGTCTCTTCGAGACATGGCACTGAGAAAACTGTATGTTGGCATGACAGAGAATGAAATTCGACCATTATACAATAAACAAATGCCAACCCAAAAAGGAATAAGGGAAGATGTAAGGAAGTCATTAAACCCCTACAAAATTAAAGGAGAAAATTTTCTTGAAATTGGTCTGGGCAATGATTTTTTAAAAAAAATATTGTATCCAAAAGAGTCAATAACAACAATAATAGACACATGAGATTGCATTAGGTTATAAAACTTTTGTGCCATAGAGGAATAAGCAACAGCATGAACAGACAACTCATAACAAGAGTGAGAATGTAAGTAAACAATATACCTCATAAGAGGTTAGTATTGAATACGGAGAAGACCCATATCTCAGCAATAAGACAATAAATAATTGGATTCATGTTTCTTTGTGTGGATTAATGCTTCTGTCATCCTTGGCCAGAGAAGCCTCTTTCCAAAGTGATCAGCAGTTGATGTGGAGACTCATACTTAGTCCAAGCGCTGGGAGGAAGTGAGCAATGAGTGTTCAGCTTCAAAGGGACATCTAGAGCATGAAGCCTCAGGGAACAGAGCTGGGGGATCGGGAGGACTCATGTGAATTCATGACATGGCCGTTGCCCCCGTGTAAATACTGCAACTATGGTTGCCTGCACAACAGGCAGCAGTAACCAGAGTCAGTGGGTTTGGGCTTCAGCAACAACAGGAGAAGACGTGAGAAGGGGAAGGGAAATACGTTGAAGGTGCCTACAGGGAGTGAGAGGGAAGGACCTGGGGTGTGTATAATCCAGACACGTTGTTCACATATATGACGTTGCCAGGGTCAAGTAAAAAACCAGCAATTAAGAAGTGAACAAAGGGCCAGGCACAGTATGGCGCATCTTTAATCCTAGTGCCAAGGAGGCAGAAGCAGGCAGATCTTTGTGAGCCAGAGGCCAGCCTAGCCTGTGTAGTGAATTACAGGACAGTCAGGACAATTACACCGAAAACCCTGCCTTGAACCCACCCCCCCCCAAAAAAAAAAACATGACCAACAGGAATATTCAAAATGCCTGACTGACATCGTTGATCATCAAGGAGATGTAAATCTAGGCCCAAATTAGATATCAACTTGCACCAATTAGAATGGCTATTAGACGAAAGATAAGGGTATACTTCAGTGCTAAACTATTTGCCTAGAATGAATGAGCATCTCATATTGATCCTGGCATTGCAAAATAGCCAACACACAGGCAAACAAAAGATGACATGGGCTGGAGATGGTGTAGGTTTCCTTGTACTTTGTTGCTGGGAATGAACACCATCAGGGTAACTGTGGAAAAATAGTAGTAACATTGCAGTAATAATAATAATGATGATGATGATGAAACTTCTCTTTGCAACAGATGGAGACCATTACATAACAATCCATGACCAATCAAAATGCACAGTTGTGGAGCCCAGTCCCAGGTGACACGTCTAAAAGCAACTCCCATATCTAAGGCTCAGAAAACATCATAAAAGATTGTAAAAGCCGGAGGGTCATGGAATTGGGAATTGGCTATGAGATTACGTCTCTCAAGGATGTCAAAAGCTATAACCGTAAAGTCTCATTAACCTGACTGCCTAAACATGAGCCAAACAAAGACAACCATGACAGGCAAGCTAAAATGGAGGGGAAAGTATTGCAAGATCACAACCCTACACCCCACCGGCACCTAAGGAGTGCTCCGAGAAGGAGAGAGAATCTTTTCCAGGGAAAGCACACCAATTGGTTATCTGCTACCAAATGATCAGTCCTGAAAACATCATACCAGTAACATTACACAGACTGGGCAGGTTAGACTCAGGAACATAGATGCACATGATGATGATTAATGAGAAAAAGGGGGGCATAAGCTTGAAAGACAGCAAGGAGGGGTACGTGGAAGATTTTGGAGGGAGGCGAGGGGAAGGGGAATGTGATATCATATCTCAAAAGTTAAATAAATGATAAAAGCACCACAGTAGAACTACCTGTCTCTGAGTTGCCTCGCTTCAGAGCATCTACACAAAGGAAGTAGATCCCGCATCTCAAAGACACTTCCATGCGCTCATGCACTTCCATGTTCATTGCCACAGTGTCCAGAACAACTAAGACATGGAACCTATCTAAATGTCTGCCCATGGCTTAAAGTTAAAAGACAACATAGCATAGACATAGACTATTCTTCAGCCCTTAAGAGGAAGGAAATCTTATTGTGATGACATAGATAAACCCAGGAGACATACTAAGTGAAATGATCCAGGCACCAAAAAAAAAAAAAAAAAAAAAAAAAAAGGAAAACCTTAATTATCTCGGTTGTAGACCATCAAGAGTAGACAATAGAATGAGGCTGCCAAGGATGAGGGATGGGGAAGATGCAGTGACGTCAGTCAGAGACAGTCTGTTTCACTTACTCAGGATGAGTAACTCCTAGGGACCCAACACGCAGAATCATGATTATTACTAATGACAGAAAAACAGGCATTAGGTGCTCTGACCACACAAAGGGAAAATATGAAAGGTGCTGGAAATGTTCACTAAACTGACTATGGTAACCAATGCGCACACACCCAAAGATTGTGGATACATCATACACACACACACACACACACACACACACACACACAAATATATATATATATATATGGTTGCTAATCAAATCACATCCCAGTGAAGCCAAGTGTCTCAGCAAGTCGTATGTCAGTAAAACCAAACTGAAAAGAAACCAGGGACTTCTAAAGTCCACACCAGGAAGACAGGCAGTTTGGATGAGCCAAAATGAAAGCAGTTCTTCTGGGCATAGTAGGAGCTGAAGGGGATTCCATGGGATGGAAACCGTATTTATGCAACGCAGACCGACAATTGCAGCAAACCCTTAGGATGACTCTCTGAGATTTGGAAATGAAGTAGCACACGATGGGACTCGGGGCCTGCGTTTCAGAATCTCGCCCAACGGTTATTAAATTCTTTAGTGCTTCCCGCTATTTGGTGAAAATTGCTCCCTGAGTTTACATACTAACTTGTAGATTTTTGTCGGGCAGAAAAGATAATCTCCGAATTGTAATTGAATAGCTAGTGGGCGCTAGCTAATTTTAAAATCTCTCTCTCTTTTTTTTTTCCTGAGATTTTTAGAAAGGCTCCTTTTATATCCTTATAGATTTTGTAAACCTCTTTAAAAAAAATACTCTCAAAACTGCAACATTAGCACTGCTCTGTCTGTCTCTATTTATTTATTAGTTATTGAACCAAAGTGCTCTAATGTTACAGTAAAGATAGAGGTTAGGGTTGAAGGAATATTAGGGTTAAAGGAGGAGGAGAGGAACATTGTGTGGGATCACCATGCTAGCTGACTAGGCAAGGAAGGGCAGAGCTTGGAGCCGGAGTTGGCTGGATTGCTGAGTCCCGTGAATCTCGACCCTGAAGAACATGGGCAAAGCACTGTCGTGAATCTCCCATCAAAGCACTGTCCTCTTTTCACATATTTTTGCTTCTAATTCGTCTAACTGTGAGAGACTAAACTGGAAATAAAGACACTTCCGAAACGCCTCCATCTGGCTCAGTGAACAGATTACCCCAGACTGCACTATAGACTTGGGGTTAAATGCAAACGTAGCAGAGAAAAGCAGCTATCTTGATGGGGTGGTGGTAGTTAGCTCCATGATAAAACTACTCTGGGAACAGTTTGATTAGCATCCAGCAAGAAACCTCCAAGGTCCACAGGAGCAACATCAGCCGGAGCTAATGGCTAGCAGATTGTCAAGGCCAGCAGCTAGCAAAGCAAGTCAGAGATGAGCAGGGGTCTCAAAGCCTGACCTACCCTCCCCACCCCCCTACCCCCACCAACTTTTGTGAGCACTTTCTGCTGGAAACATAGGCGAACGTAGTTATACCTTTCCACAAGGCCAGAACTTACCGAAAAATAAGTCACAAGGTTTAACGGATTTAATGACAGCAATTTGTCAGAAAAATACACCTACCTTGATGACTTGGCTGAGGCAAAGCAAGTTCTTTCATTCCAATCTTATTTACTAATATCAACACTCATAGCGCACAGTGCACGTTGAGTTTTAGATAGGCCAGGGAATGAATCTTCGTGAAAGTAGCCGTAGCAGAGTTCAAGAGGCTTCGGAAGGGGCTTGAGAAAAGGCCTGTGCAGACAAGATAACGAATCAGTCCAGCACTGCAAGGGAGTGGCAAGTGTCAGCCTTGAGGACAGGGCTGCAGATTTCACGGCGAAGAGGCTAGGATGTGTCGGGGCAGAAACAGGTAAGGTCCAGGCCCAGACGGGAGAACAGACGATAATAGACAATTGGGAAGTGTGTGTTGCCACGCTAAGCTGGGGAGCCCTTGGCCCTTGACATACTTACCAGGTGTCAGATGATGAGCTGATGTGAGCCCATACCATCCCAGTGTCTATCTCTTTACATGGCCCAGGCAAGGGAGGTGTCTGATAAGTTCTTGGGGTCTGGTTTCTCTGATAGGATTTTAATACATGGGCATGCTGTCTCCTTAATAAACTTATAGGGTGGCTCCCTTTATCTCCCCAGGAATAAGTCATTTATCAGCCCCTGCTGACAAATGGTACTGTTGCTGGGTTCACCCAGAGGCTGTTATCATCCTTCTCCCCCAAAATGGACTCAAAAGCTGGAAAAATGGAGTCTCCTAGGGAAAGGCACAGCCTGAAAAACAAACACTGTTTTAGACAATATAGAGTTACCTAGAGCAGGTCAGCCTAACTAACAGCTGCGTGGAAACAGATCTTACCATGTCCTTGCTGGGCCATGCGACCTGCCAGGAGCCCGTGGACCCTCCATTGGCTTGACCTGTTATCTGCTCAGAAAACTAGCCAGTCTCTATAAAATTTACCTCAGCATTGTCTAGTTTCAACCACAAATCCTGGAAAAGTCCCTAGATCAACAGCTCAACACGTTTTGCCCTTTCTTGGGGCCTTCTAGGGGCTTCCTTGCCTTTTGGGTGAGTCTCTGCTTTCTGCAATCCTTAGATCATCCTTCAAATGTTTGCTCTACAACACAAACTTCTTACTGCTGTCCATAGTTCATCTTTCGTGTTCGCGAGGCAAGAAAGGAGCCAGAGCAGAGAGCTACTACTGATTCAGTGAAAGCTCCGTGTGACCGCGAGCATCCAGTACCCGAAGTTCTGAGTCATGCACAGCTGTGTTGAGAGCCTTCACTCTATAAAGGACACCCGCTCTCTCCTGCTTCACCAATACTGAGCTGTAGCCTCTTAGCAGTGGGTTAAACAAACCCCTGGCGTTTGTGATATTGATGAATCATATTTTCCTTGCAGTAGAAACATTGACTTTGACAGTGTATTTGTGGAGTGAGATCATCTTCTTCAGTAAGGTACCATCGTAAATAGGGAAAAGGCAAACGTGTTTTAAGGGATGTGGTCCGGGTGACTGTGTGTAACAGAAGTCCATGAACCCCAGAAGCGCTCCCTTCGCCGTGTGCTTTCAAATTTGTTGAGGGATGACTGGAAAAAAGACAGCGGTGGAGTAGAGTTTCTGGATCTCTCTGGATGTTCTCACGAGGGTTGGGGAGGGAAAGGGAGAGAATAGGAAACAGAGGAACAAGATGGGACATAAAGTATGACTGGGAAACACCCTCCGTGAAACCCGGAACTGGTGGGTAGGATAAGTCATCCCAAGAAACAGGATCTGGTGGGCATCACTTAGATTTGTGTTTATACAAGAGTTATAGGCAGAAGTGGCAGGGATCCTTAGGTCCAGTCAAACTCAAGAACACAGAAATCCGCTTGAGTCTAGCCATTCTTAACAAGTAGGATTTGATTGCACAGTATGTAAAGACATGGAATCTCCACATGTCAGCATAGCAAAAGCAGCAGTACAGGCCTGAAGGCCACTTATGACTGGAGGATTGCACGGGCCTTTAAATAAAAGTATAGTTGGTGGCCACAAATATAAATGTCTTTGAAGAACTGGATGAGGTGAAGGTTTGGCCAAAAACATAGGGACAACCCATCCAGGTGAAAATCAATGAGAAGCAGGTTCTCCTGCTACTAAAAACTGTTTATTCCACAGAGGGTATCCTTGTTTATTGCCAGCCAGATATTGTGTGTAATCATGAGCAGGACTAGAACTGACTAGTCATCAATTTTGCCTTGGGTGTCTTTAGGGGGATAAACAATACCTTTTACAGAAAAAATACAAGTAAACCAACTTGGGTACCCTGTGCACAGGACCAACAGACTCCCATGAAGAGTTGTATTTTCTCTGGGACAAGCAATCAGAAAGACACTGTGGTAGTCTCTCTTTAGTAGCAGCCAATTGAGTGGGAAGGAAAACCAAAGACCCCCCCCCTTTACCATCTTCATTTCCTTTAGTGGAGTCAGTCACCAACGTCCTGTAAGAGAGGGAAACCCATCCAGGCTCAAGAGTGACATCAGCCAAGAAGATTCTTCGTGTCCTGTATAGTTTAGGAGACCAGAAATCTCATGATGGGCAAAAGCATCCCTGTCTTCCCCCATCAGCCTAGAATCATTAGCCACCATGCTTACTTCCTCAAAATCCCAAGCTGCAGGGTGAACATTTTTGGAAGCAGGTATTTATCCCTTTACACAAAGGCATGTTATCTGGGACCTAAGACACACGGTATGTGGATGCACATGACCACAGTACAACACTGCTGTCTTTAACAGCTCCATATACAGTTTAAGTTATTCGGTACCTCAAAACCATGTTTTAGAAAAAGGTTATTGTATAATGCCATGGTAAAAAGGAACTAAGTCTCTCAAATATTCCTTCGGAAGTATTAAAATAAGTTCAAAAATAAATAAAATGAATAAAACCATGATTTTAATGTAGAACTAACAATAAGCAAAACCAAAAATAATTAAATGTGGCCAGCCCAGAAAATCTTTTCCTGGGCTATATAGATTTTTTTTTTTTTACACAGATCACCAGAGGCTGATTTTTCAAGTCCAATTAAGAAGGAGTATTTGTTAAAACAAAATTAAACAAACTTAAACCCATACTTCAACAGGAAATGGTTCTGGGACATAAGTACAGAATCGTTCCTGAGTAGCTCATATTGATACTAAAGATACCTATATGGAGAGCAGAGATGTCAGCCAAAAATAGAGAGGGAGGAGAGTCTTCCTTCACAACCTTACCCACTCTTCAGGACCGACAGGCTCTTCGGTCATATGTCCTGGGTTTGGAACTTAACATCCCGGCTCTTCTGTTGAATGAGTGATGATGTAATTGTCTATGGCTACTTCCTGTTGATACTGGGACATCACTGGGAACCCAAAGGCTAGGAATGTTGACCAAGTCCAGGAAGAGCAAGCTGCTTTATTCACTGTCCAGGTTCTAGAGTTGGAGCAGTCTTTAGCCTTTAGTTGATCGAACATCTGCTGGAATAGATGTATGTTAAGGGCAAGAAGTAAAGTTAAGGACCTTTGCGGGGGAAATTTTTTCTTAGTTGTACATTTGAAACTTCCAGGTCCATGGTCCTGGGAGCTAGGACAAGGGTGTCCCAAAATTAGGGAAAGGGAAAGAGGTTCCATTCCTCAAGAGACAGGCAAGTGGAAAAACAGGTTACTTATCTGGAGTACTATGAGAGGTGGCTCCAAGTCCATCTCCTGAAGCTTTTAAGAACTTTTTCCATCTATCTATCTATCTATGAATCTATCTATCTATCTGTCTATCTATCTCTCTATCTATCATATATATATATATATATATATATATATATATATATTTATCTTAGAGGCAAGGTATGCTAGCAAGTTAACATGATCATTGTTTGTAGTCTGTACTAGAATTCACATTGTAGAAAAGCGGTAGACTCATGCCTTTGAGTCATAGTAAAAGTTTGTGAACCTAAAAATATGACTTGCATGTACAGACCTTAAGTTATATATTTTTTTAGTCCTTAAAACAGTTTTTTTTTACCCTTACAGCTTATGTTTTTATATCCTTAGCACTTATATAGGCTTTTTTTATCCAGTTGTTTATGCCATGAGATATAGATGGCTGATTACTGAAGCATTTTTGTAAAGCAAGTTACTTGAAATAAAAGTATAGTAAAAGATAGTAACAGTTTATTTATTTATTTATTTTTGGAGTCCGGTATCAAGCAGTAGTAGCTTTAGGGAAGTGAGGCCTGTGACCTGGTTTTCAGATAAGAAGAGAACTGAGAAGACAGTCAAGCCTTGCAAAAGGAATGCACGCTTCTGTTGCTCTTAAAGCTACAGTCAGTCAGAGTCCTCAGAGAGCTGGAAAGGACACATTCTAACTGGACATGTAATCTAAATGGTCACTGTATCAATTAAAATGACAGAGACCCATTGCCTACACAGGTCACCCCAGGCTCTGGTGGTCTCCACAGTTTTGTTGGGTCAGTGGCCGTAGGTCTTTGGCTGTCATAAAGGACAATATTTAATTGATAGCTGTCATGCAGAGTAGCATAGGCCTTTGGTAGCCAGAACCAGCTCTGAAATGCTTTCTGTAGAAGAGCACTTTAGGAGAATGACCTCACTTTGACCAGGCCAAATAGGGTATTCAACCCAAAAGTGTCCACAATTTGAGCAAAGCTCTGGCAACAAATGAGGCACGGGGCAGTTTTGTCTATAATTATGGAAGCTCTTCATTTCCTCTCAAAATCATAGCGTGTGTTTCTTTATTATTGTTACACATATATACATGCATAAATATATAAATGTGCATAAACATAAATAAAACCTGCTGAGTCTGTTTAGTGTTGTGTGTATGTATAGGATTTCAGGGCTGACCACTTGGTAGTGGATAACCAATCGGAGAGCCATCCCTGGGAAAGACTAATTCCCCCTCTTTGCATTCCTCAGCTGCCTGAAGTTCTTTGTCACATAGGTGAGACCTGTAAGCTTTCCTTCTCTGGTGTTGGCTTGTCTGTTGATGTACTTGCTCAGGTCTCCTTCAGACAGGTATTCTATTGAGGCATTGTGGTTATAATTTCCATGTCATCTTTAGGAGACAGAATCTCACATACTTTTATTTTAAATTGTGTGTGTGTGTGTGTGTGTGTGTGTGTGTGTGTGTGT